TATGTGAAACAAAAACGCCAACAAAGAATCAATTTTCTTCGTACAATTACTGGAACTTGGTGGGGAGCACACCCGGAAGATCTGATCAGGTTGTACCGAACAACCATCCTTTCGGTTTTAGAGTACGGCAGCTTTTGCTTCCAATCCGCAGCAAAAACACACATTCTTAAGCTGCAACGGATTCAATACCGTTGCCTTCGTATTGCGCTAGGCTGTATGCACTCGACTCATACGATGAGCCTCGAAGTACTCGCGGGTGTTCTCCCACTGACAGATCGTTTCGCTAAGCTGTCTTTCCGGTTTCTCATCCGTTGTGAAGTATTGAATCCTTTGGTAATAGAACACTTTGAGAAGCTGCTCGACCAAAATCCTCAAACAAGATTCATGAGTTTGTACTATGAGTACATGACGCTGGAGGTTGGTCCTTCTTCATTAATCTCCAATCGTGATTGCTTTCAAGCCTTCTATAGTTCCTCTGTAAATTTTGATCTGACCATGATGCAAGAAATTCATGGAATACCAGATCACCATCGGTCGATGGTTGTTCCCTCAATTTTTGCAATCAAGTACCACCATGTAAGTAACGATAAAAGATTTTTCACAGATGGGTCAACCATAAATGCTTCCACTGGATTTGGTGTATTTAATCAATTTCATAGCGCCTCCTATAAACTGCAGAAACCATGCTCCGTATACGTTGTGGAACTCGCAGCTATATTTTACGCAGTAGAGCGAATTGCCTCACTACCTTCTGACCATTATTTCATTTTTACGGATAGTCTTAGCTCATTGAAGGCTATTCGTTCAATGAGGCCGATGAAGCACTCCTCGTATTTCCTGCCTGAAATACGAACTAAACTGAGTGCTTTATCTAACTGCTCCTATACTATCACCTTAGCTTGGGTCCCATCTCATTGCTCAATTCCGGGTAATGAGAAAGCGGACTCATTGGCTAAGGAAGGCGATATTTTTGAGCGACAAATCGCCTTCAACGAATTTTTCTCCATTGCTCGCCAGCAAGTCCTCATCAGTTGGCAACAAAAATGGAATGATGGTGAATTGGGAAGATGGTTACATTCTATTCTCCCACAGGTGTCGAACAAACCATGGTTCAAAGGGTTGGATATGAGCCGCGACTTTATACGCGTTATATCAAGGTTTATGTCCAATCACTGCTCGTTAGACTCGCACTTCTATCGAATTGGGCTCTCAGGCAGCAATTTATGTGCGTGTGGCAGTGGTTATCACGATATCGAGCATGTTGTTTGGTCGTGTACCTTACACCGTGTTGCCAGATCTGAGTTATCCACATCCCTCAGGGCCCGAGGAAAACAACCCGCGATACCCGTTAGAGATGTCTTGGCGAGCCGAGACCTTGACTATTTGAATTTAATTTATGTGTTTTTAAAGCGGATAGATTTGAGGATTTAGAAGTTAGTGTCATCTTGTGTTCTCCCAAGTTGTTAGCTACCCATCGGTGTACCCCCATGTTTGTCTTTTTCATCAGAGTGTCGCCTAGTTCGAGATCAAGAGCACATTGCTCTCCAAACCTTGTGTTCACAATCCTTACCCTGCCATCCATTTGTTACAATTTGTTACCCCTAACCTCGAGATAGCCGCGAGTAATCGGCCCCCGCTTTACTAACGTTAGTTTTAAGTAATTTTGTTATCTAAACAATGAATATCGGCTCCGCAAAGCAACAGCAAATGAACCTGAAAAAATAAACGAATCATTAAAAAAAAAAAAAAAAAGGTCAAAAGCTCCTTAAATCGGATTACCTTTGACCTTCACATGTGGTTTTAACGAAAGTCAAACTATTGTCTTTATTCAACACACATTAATATGTGTACTATGGTATTGTTCGATACAAGTAGTTAACCAGGGAAGATTCGCAGATTAGATCAAATTGCACTGATACTTCAGAAGAAGTGATTTTACAGGGCTGTTACAAGATTTTCTAAATTTGATCCGCGAAATCCGCGACGTCAAATACTAATCCGCGACAAAAAAAAATTGTTTTCATTGCCTAAAAATAGCATTACTACTACATGGCATTTCAAGCTAATTGCTTATAGCATATTAGATTTTTGCCTTAGTGTTCTTTGAAGTACTTTCACATTTTAATTGAGAGCTTTCTATGCCTGTACCATCCTATGCCCAAGGAAGTAGAGAAATTTTACAACCCGAAACATTAATAGACTGGACGGGAATAGAACTCAGTCGCCTCCAGCATGGACTTGCTTTGTAGCTGCGCCTTTACCGACTGAGCTAAAGGAGTATCGTTTGTAACCTTTGAATAAAAAAAAGAATAACATTGTATCATCTTTAGTTATTTATGTATAGTATAAATTCTGAGTAATAGTAACATAATAAAACACCCTTACATTATGAGATTCTATTGAATAATACCGGCCTAGGTTTGATGAAACATTATTAAAAAAATTAATGCATTTTCATTTGAAATTCTTGCAGAGACGAATTTTGCTGTCCTAAATGTTGTAGTTAATTTGGCTCTAGTTTTCTCAATTTTTTACCGATTCAAACCAAACACCCTGCACATAATCGAGAAATTACCAAAGTTTTATAAGTCATGCTTGTTGGTCACGTCGCGGTTGTGTATTTATACGGATATTCCTTGGGTTCTGCCCAATGGTGAGACATTTTCATGATTTTTTTTTTTATTTCTAATATGAACCTAGCACTTTTTGTTATCAAATCATAACCGAATCGTATAAATGTGACTTTGTGGATCATGCACGACTCATTACTGTGTATACCGGAAATTATAGGTTTTCCAAATCGTCCAGGACATCAGTTGATTTGTTGTACTAGATCAACCAAGACTGCAATAATGTCTGTAGTATCGAAATATGTCCAATCAGATTCAAAGTGTCTATGTGGATCATGCATGATCTATTTCCGAGTAAACCAGATGTTCAAGGTTCTTTAAATCGTCCTGGAGTTCAGATAATTTGATGTACTAGATTAACCGAGATTGTGACAATGTCTTTAGTATCGAAAAATTTCCAGACAGATGCACAGTGTGTATGTGGATCATGCATGAACTATTGTCATGTATACCAGATGTTTTAAGTACTCCAAATCGTTCTGGACCTCATAGCCTAGCCTAGTTAGTAAAGGCACGGTATTACTAAGCCGTAGGCGGCGGGTTCGATTCCCGGTCCGGTCGAGGGAATCTTTCGGGCTGGAAATTTTCTCGACTTCCCTGGGAATAGAGTATAATTGTGTTTTTGCCACACAATATACAAATTCATGCATTGGTATTGGCATCGAAAGCTCTCGATTTATAACTTTGAGAGTGCATTTAGAACACTAAGTTGAGAGCATGCAATAAGCTAATATGCACTAATCAATAAGCTTGAAATGCGAATAAGAAGAAGAAGAAATCGTTCTGGAGTTCAGATGATTTATTCAACAAGATCAACCATGACTGGGATGAAGTCTGTAGTATCAAAATATGTCCAAACAGATTCATAGTGTCTATATGGATAATGTTTAATTATTATCTAATTAATTATTAGACTAGGATAATATCTGTAGTATCAAATATCGATTTGGAAATCCTAAAACATTTGGCATGATCCACATAGACACTGCAAATTTGTTTGGGCATATTTCGATACTACAGATATTTAATTAGTCTTGGATGATCAAGTAGAAAAATAATCTGATCTCCAGAATGATTTCAGAACCTATAATATCTTGTATACGTAGAAAAAGGTCGGGTGCAATCCACATAGAAACTTTGAATCTGTTTGGACATATTTCGATACTACAGACATTATTGGAGTCTAGGTTGATATAATAATTATTATTATTATATAACATTATGTTTTGGTATTAAATGAAATATGGTATATTTTTCGGGAAAAAGGTACATTCGGGGAACTGTTCCATTCGGGGAATTGTATTTCGGGGAAAAGTTACATTCGGGGAAATAACTTTCGGGGAAAGTGTTTTCGGGGAAAAGTCGTACAATCGTCAGGACATCGTATGATACCTTGGTTAGACAGTAAAACATAAAGATCTGAATCCATACCTCTCACGCCAAGGTCGAAGTACTTAATTATCTTAGAGATAATTCGTCCAACTCAAACGTAGGGGAAATCATCATCATCCTGAGTTAAAATCTAACCGGGATAAGTCACGAATGCTCCAAGACTATAATATAAAAAAGATCTGAACTCCAGGCATTTTAGAAAACCTAATAATCCAAACCAATGATATTATATTGCCCATTCTATCATTAAGTCGAATCATCGTTGTTGATTCTGCAGAACTTCAAGAACAGATATCCGGAATGATTTGGATAATCCAACAATTTTTTTAACAAGATTAATAATTTTAAATGATGCTATGAACTCGAAATGTTCATAAGTGCTCAAAATGCTTAACCTGTAAAATATCTCCAAGACAACTTGGAGAATGATAAATATATTGGTAACACATCTGTGTATCCCACAAAATGTTGTTTGGCTTATAGAACTTCAAGATATATATACTTTTAATACTGAGTTTCTCCTACTCAGGTCTCTTGTATTGATATATGTCGAAAAACGACATAACAAAACCACATTTAGGCTAATTTTTTGCAGGAGACTCTTTGATTTTATACGAATTCATGATTCCGTGAGATGCTGGAGTGTTGGAGATCTAGATCATCAACATATTAATGCAAATCTCATCTCATATATATTTTTTTATAAAATAGACGTATTTTAGAGCAACTCTGGAGCAATTCTGCTGAAAATATATATGATTATCTATAAACGGTTATTTTTAATCGCCTTTTTAGTTTAAGGCAGCGTTGATTTTTGGATTGGGGTTTTTATTTCTAAATAACCGAGAAAAAAAAACGGGAATTTAAAAATTGGATTTGAATGGACACCCTGCTAGGTAATGGTTTATGAATAGCCCCATACCACAAATTGAAAGAAAAAATACCTTTACGTTTGCCAGAATACCAAAAGAAACTTACCAATATCCGTGGCGAGCTGCTTAGCTCCCGATGCAGACAGACATAGTATTTCATCAATCTTCTCCTGGTACATAGCTGTTGTTTCCTCTACAATGAGGAATAACAACACATCGGCGCAAGCCTTCTCGCTTTTGTACTTTTCTTCGCAAAATTGCATTATACATTTGAGTGCCGGGGACGGAGATAGAAGCAATGGCTCTAAGTGTTGAGGAAGAGTCAGTAGATATTGTCCTATCTGCGTGATGTATTCTTGCGGAGCGTAACTGTAATCTGGTAAATTGTATTCCTTGCTGTGCTGTTTCATAGTAAATTCAACTTCTTTGAATTGTGTTTCGATGTAAATGAATATATGCTTCAGGACACTATCGTGAATTTCAACAGCTACTTTCTGTAAAGCGTTCAATTCCTTTACAAAAAGAACATTGCTCTCGCTAACTGTTTGTCTAGTTACGGCATCACGGACTTTTTCGTTGTTGCGAAGATATCGTAGGAGACACACGGTACTGTTGTTAGAATCGAGTTCCTTCGCATTCATGGAGGCATAGAGCTTCTTTTCGCATTGCTCTATTACTTGCATAAAATCGCCCAGGTATTGCAGCAAGTTGATATTCAACTGAAGCAAACTCCAATTTACTTCCTCAGATTGATTCAGAACCAGCTGTTTCTGCACGGTTGTGTATTTTCCAATATAAGTTATAACAAAGCTTCGGAAAATGTTGATTAGCTGAACTAAAGATTTGTTCTGAGTGATGTTAGTACATCGAATAATAGCATCAGTGAACCATTTCAAAATTTTAGAGTTGCAATTATCGAGAGTGCTAACATTTTCAGCTACACTTGTGCTGTTTAACTTCATTTCGTCCAGCATTTTATTTGAGTAGCTTCTCTCGAGGTTTGGATACTGTTCGACAAAAACATCAAAGTACATAAATATTGCTACAGACAGATCGTCTAATTTGTCCTTTGGTAGCTCAATCAATATATTTTCCAATGCATGCGCGAAGTGACAATCTCTATTAGCAATAGAGGCCAGATATTCAAATTTGTTGGGTGATTTTTTCAACTGGTTCATAACAAACGATTGCTTTGAGCTTTGTAGATTTTTCAAAGTATCCACTATTGTATCCAGAGGTTCCAAACTACTGTGGAATACTTGTTTGCACCATTTTTGTTGATTTTGAACAAAGTCCAATAGAGCATTATTAAACTCCAGCAGAACATTGGTATCGTAAGTGCCTTCGGCATCAGACAATTTTGACCATTTTTCGACTAGCGCATTCTTGTGCACAGTCCTATAGCATTGTTTCAGTTGAGGTGAACGATCTATTATTCTGAAGATTTCAACATACTTCAAGCATTGTGGAACATCTCCATGTTGAATATGTTGTATCACAGCTGGACTAGCGAGTGCTTCCAATCGATTGGTAAAATACTCAAACTGTAACGCGCGTTCTGTTTGACCTGGTAAACCAGTTTGAGCAGAAATGGAATTCTTCAAATCGATGAACTTAGTTTTCGATTCAAAAACATCGTTTCGCTCAAGTAAATCATCTAGTTCGGCGGTAAGTTTACCCCAGCCATCTGATTCTTTCATGCCATGTTTGGCTATGCTTATTTTTTGAAATGTCGATTCCAGCCGTTCCAATTTATGCATGTAGACACCGGTATCCCTATTAACATGGCTGATGTCGTTTTGAAGCTGACGCATTTTATCCGTTAGAGTGACGACCTCTGCTTGAGTAATCTTTAAGTCTTTTATAACGTGAGGCATGGTGATCATTAGTTGATGACTTGATTTTTCCAAAGAGTAATTCATTTGTTCAACATAAAGCTGCAGCCTGGATACCAAAGACGAAACCATCACCTGAAAAATATATGGTTTTGTAATGTTCGCAACACACAGATTATCTATCTATAACCCATTACATCTTTGTTTTCCACACTTCCATTGGATTTGAAATAATCGTTTGTCCATTGGACAACATCAAACGAGTCCTGAGAAAAACAAGTGAGGTCCTGGAAAGAAAAATAACGAAATTAACTACCGATAAAAATTTAGGTTTGATTGGAGTCCAGACTGAGCTTCTATACAACAGATCTGGTATTAAATGTAAAAGCTTACGGTAAATTACATTTTCGATTATTCATTGCAGGGGAATTTCTCATTAAATGTGATCAGAAGTCCAGTCAAAATATGTTCTGAGCCGGAAAGTATACTAATATCCTAAGCCCCAGAAAGTTAAGCAAAATTTTTGCTCAAAAAGCTTATCCACCAGATCTGGAATCAAATCTCCAGCAAGGTGTGATTATTGTGGTCCTTATTTTTCTGACTAGAAGATGCCTTAAGGTACATACAGTGCTGTTCGATATAATAGAAACGCATGACGATTTTCATACAAAATTGACAACTTTGACATGTTGTAACTTTGTTCTCTTTAGATCAATTGAGCGGCAACGTTCACCACAGAACTATAAATATGTTCAATTTAACGATTACAAAATACCAAATTTTTGGAAGCACCTGTCGGAAAATGATATACTAGGTACTAGGTAAAATTGTTCGAAATAATAGCTCATCTTGCACAGTACCCCTACATGTTCCGGTCTAAATTCTGTGTGTCGTATTGCATTCTGGCCACACGACCTCGGCTGGAATTGAACCCAGACAATGGGTGAGAAGCAGTCACGCGTACCACTACACCACCGGCGCCGGCTATACAGACTAAAATTGCTACTTCCTAGTTTGGCGAACGTTGAAACAAGCAAGTTGTAAACGGTCTATACATTGCATATTGATTAATCTAGCAGTGCTAATTACTAGGCGTATTCTTACCATTTTGTGCTAATAATTTGGGTTGCCCACAATATTTTGCACTGTTTAAAATATCACAGATTGAAAAATAAAGACCTTTACGTGGAAGTTGTCAAAAAACTATAAAAACAAAATCCATGTTAGTAAAACACGATGTCAATTATACAAGGTCTGGCCCAACCGGCTTATTGGTGTTAGTGAAATGTGGAAATGTCTAGTGGTGGTCGTATTTCATCGCAATGTTTATATCTTTTTACACGAAACAGCTGTTTACTGTGACGATGTCCAGGCGGGTTCGTATTGGTGCGATTTGCGTGTGTTAGTAAGATGAAATTTTTTGTTAGCTGTGAGAAATTTTTTGTTTGCTGTAAAACTGTCTTTCTAAAGTACACATAAACAACAAAACGAAAACAAATCCTATGCTACACGGTAACAGTTAAATACTCTTTTATGAGTAAAAGTTAACCCATTTTTAATAAAATTGGCTTTACTCATTAATGAGTAAATTATTTTAACAACAATGAGTTTCTGCTAACAGTAGCTAACAGTTACTACTTAATTGGCATAATAAATTACTCATTAATTAGTATTGCCACTTTTATTGACAATGGGTTCACTTTTACTCATAAATGGAGTAAGGTTCTTACCGTGCACATGACAGTATACGCTATTGTATGTAAAATTATATTATTAGTGTAGTGTTCGTGAGATCGAATGTGTGGTACCGTGACATCGGCATTCGGTTGCTCAGCAATGTTTACAACATTATGTGCTTCTAACACCAGTGTATACAGCGTTTGTTTACGTTAGGAACCAATTTCATACAAGCATTATCAGTAGGCTGATTTGACAGTACGTCCCCCCAGATTGGAACAGCTTTTTTCTAAAGCCCTCTAATTAAAGTATGGTCGACTGTCACCACAAACCGGAAAAAAGCTATTCCAATCGAGCAAAGCGGTGCATTTTGACGGTTCGATTGGAACAACTTTTGACAGACGTCCATACTTTTACTGTAGGGCTTTACTTTTCTCCGGTTTGTGGTGACAGTCGACCATATTTTAATTAGAGGACTTTATAGTACGTTCAAACGCTGTCCAGACTAAAGCCCTACAGTAAAAGTAAGGACGTTTGTCAAAAGTTATGTTCCAATCAAAATCAAGTCAAAATGCACCGCTTTGCTCGATTAGAACAGTTTTTTTCAGTTTTGTGGTGACAGTCGTCCATACTTTTACTGTAGGGCTTTAGTCCAGACTGGAGAGTTATAACAACAATCAATACGAAACTAACGATTTTAAATTGGCTCACCACTTTAGTAGCCTATTGGTCCCAAGCAAACGATTAACGTACCCTATTCTAGTTGAAATTCTATTACTACACTATGTTTGTTTTGATTCGCTATGAAAGTTTAACAGATAACATCAGGGGTGTGTGGATTCATGCAGAACATGCAGGGGTGAGTGAAATAGCTTGGGACTGCTTGGGACCGTTGTTCTGGTACTGAGTGAGCCAAAAATAATAATGATTTTCTTCGGGACCCAGTGGTCTTAGAGTTACCTCTATGGTTATAACATGTTATAACGGTTGTCAAATAATTGCAACACAGAAACCACCATCAAGATAGCGCTATAACATGTTATAACCAACCGGTGGAAACTAACGATTTAAAATTGGCTCACTACTTGACTAGCCTATTGGCATACACAGCAAAAAAAAATGTAATATCGATCAATGTAATCCAAGCTGATGTATGAAATAATGATGTAATAGCAAAAAGCAGATACAATATTACATCAATGGATGTAATTTTGTTCGCAAAATCGATGTACATCGTACAATGTTATATTACACAACCGATGGATTGACCTGGTTGCAGCAGTTTGGATGTAATATTCAACAACTTTTTTTTCTGTGTAGCCTATTGGCATACACAGCAAAAAAAAATGTAATATCGATCAATGTAATCCAAGCTGATGTATGAAATAATGATGTAATAGCAAAAAGCAGATACAATATTACATCAATGGATGTAATTTTGTTCGCAAAATCGATGTACATCGTACAATGTTATATTACACAACCGATGGATTGACCTGGTTGCAGCAGTTTGGATGTAATATTCAACAACTTTTTTTTCTGTGTAGAGGTAACTCTAATACCCCGTTCACATTACAGCGTATATCACGTGATATACGCTGTCTTGCAATGAGCACTCATGCATCTAGTTTTCACTAGAAATCCTATGTATGAGTGCTCATTGCAAGACAGCCTATATTACGTGATATAGGCTGTAATGTGAACAGGGTATAAGACTAGAAGGTCCCGAAGAAACGTGCTCAACTTTTTGGCTCAGCTCTGGTACCATCTTCGGTCCCAAGCTAATTGATTCACCCCTCGAAACATAGAAAAATCAACTAACCCCTCATTTTATCTGTCAAACTTTCATAGCGAATCAAAACAAACATTGTGTAGTACTAGAATTTTGACTAGAATGGGATACGTTAATCGTTTACTTGGGACTAATAGGCTACACAGTAAAAAAAAATGTAATATCGATCAACGTAATTCAAGCTGATGTATGAAATAATGATGTAATAGCAAAAAGCAGATACAATATTACATCAATGGATGTAATTTTGTTCGCAAAATCGATGTACATCGTACAATGTGATATTACACAACCGATGGATTGACCTGGTTGCAGCAGTTTCGATGTAATATTCAACAACTATTTTTGCTGTGTAGTCAAGTAGTGAGGCAATTTAAAATCGTAAGTTTCGTATTGATTGTTGCTATTGGTCCCAATTACATCTGTAAGCATACCCCATTCTTGATGAAATTCTATTACTACACTATGGGATTACCCCCATTTGGGGGCCTCCCGTAGCTCAGTCGGTAAAGGCGCAGCTACAAAGCAAGACCATGCTGGAGGTGGCTGGGTTCGATTCCCGGTCCGGTCTAGGAATTTTTCGGGTTGAAAAATTTCTCGACTTCCCTGGGCATAGAAGTATGATTGGACTTGCCACACAATTCTACCAATGCAAAAATGGTACAGGCATCTAAAGCTCTCAATTAATAACTGTGGAAGTGCATCTAGAACACTAAGTTGAGAGCACGCAATAAGCCAATATGCGATATGCAATAAGCTTGAAATGCGAAGAAGAAGAAGAAGAGTAAACCATAGTTTACCCATTAAATGAAGAGGGGCACTTTTAGCGGAAATGGCTATTTTTATACCCATTAATAGGTTTTCGCGAAACACCGTGTACTTGAAACCGAGCTTGAAACTTCTCACATCGTGTTGCCGATGCTCCCTTTTTATGGCACAGACCTGTTATCCTGTCACGGAGATGAAAAACTACCCAAAATAAAGTACTTTTCCCTCAATTCCGTTGTTCAGCCCAATAACCCAAATTTGAGTAAATCGCATATAGTAGTTTCCATTTAACACCAGCAAAAAAAAAATACCTACTCTTAAGTATATTCTACCCAAAATTATGTTTAATTCACGTAAATTTGAGAATATACATTTTACTTAGAAGTAACTTATTGGGCTGAACTAAATCGTTGGGTCGAATATCTTGTTCCTTTCATGACAACAATAACGAGTGCAAGTGAGAGGCTGAAGTCAATATTAAGTAAATAGAATTCAAATTTTGGGTAGTATTTTTTCTCCGTGTTTTACGCGAGTTGCCGATGCGTGTCAACTCAACAAGAACATGTTACTCAAATTGACGTGGATGCGCGCCAGGTCTGGTACGCGTGTGTTTGATTTTTAATGCATGTGCATGCATGTATTTACTTTTAACTTGTATGAGTTTGTTTTGGACTGTTGCAAGCAGCGCTGAGTTTTTTTTAATTTATGAAAGTAGAAAACTACAAAATATTTCAATTAAAAGTTCATTGACTAATGCATAACAATGAAAACTATGTCCGTTTTCGGTGTTGTGTTGGTCGCCAGATTGTTCTCCGCAAAATTCTTGCACATCACGGATTGTGACGAGACCTACAACTATTGGGAACCTCTACATTATCTGCTGTACGGAAAGGGTAAGTTTAAAATAGGGACTGCCAATGAACTACGTGGCGATCGCCCTTAAACTAAATTTATAGTGGTCGCTGAAGCTTTGGGCCTAGTCCCTAGTGGTTCTTCCGTGGACTGATAAATGGGTACATCTTTTAAATGTATTTACAATAGTAGTAAAGGCCGGCGCACAATGCATACGTTTTCGGGTTTTTTGACAGATAATGCATGGGCTAACTGTCAAAAAACCTGAAAACGTATCTATTGTGCGCCATACGTATACCATGGGAAGTGGTTATGATACTCGATTCGATTGAAATTGTATTTTTTATTTTATTTATTTTATTTTATATTTTATTGTATACTTTTCTGGGCTGATATAGCGTGTCACATCTAACAATCTAAAGAAACTTGAACTAAATAGCACAGACAAACATACATAACACATTGAATATTTCTCACTGTAAAACATCGTCGCTAAAACATTACCGCCATCTGTTGAGTGCACTGTGGTGGGCAGTACGCTGAACAGATGGCTGTAGTGTGTAAACGTCAAACGCAAGGGAATCAACCATGCGCGCCACAGGTGGCGGTACTACCAACTAAAATACTTTTAAATTGACCGTTAAATGCTTGTTCGATGCACAACTTGCGAGTGTTATGTATGCTTGTTTGTGTAAATAGTATGACTACGTAGTTAATTAGTATGCTAAACTAATATGCGATAAGCAATAAGCTTAGAATGCGAAGAACATGAAAGAAGAAGACGCATTTAATTGATAAGACCTAACTATCTGGACTGGACAATATAAATATATTTTTTAAATGTGTTGTTTCAGGTCTGCAGACGTGGGAATATAGCCCTGCGTATGGACTGCGGTCATATTTGTATTTAATACTACATGCCGCACCTGCATGGATCTTGCAGAAGTTAACGCTACTGGATAGTACATCATTGTTCTACTGCATTCGGTGCATACTAGCTGTTGTGTGTGCTTCCCTAGAAGCAATCATGTTCAGGTATTTGGTTAGAACATTTTTTGTGTTTTGTACCCTCAGTGAACTCTCAACAACTTTATATTGAGAGGATTATATAATAACTTGGAATTTTTCACAATTTTAAATACCGTGACCTGCCCTAATTCCGCGAAGGTAAACTTAGCATATCGAGTCATCTTTACTAATACATAACAAATTTGACGAATATTTATAGAATAAAAACCATGGCTTTAGGGCACTGCAGTACTTTTCGGTGCCTAGAGCTTTTTGACGTTTAATCGGCGCACACTAATGCACCATTTAAACCTCGATTTAAACTGAAGGAGTGTGAGCAAGAGAGAAACAGATTAGTGGGAAAACAAACCATCCATTCATCCCTGTGTGCTAGATAGAGAAAGACAATTAAGCGTCAAAAAGGTCTCTAATACCGTGGTTTGATTGCAGCAGCATAATTATGACTTAATAAGGCGTAGGAGAAATGGCTCTAATGTTAGCTTATGGATCTGAGATTGGGCCCATCGCTAAAAATCTGCTATATATCAATTTTATCTAGATGAACGCGTCATTGTAACGGTACTAATGGATATTTTTGGTCGCTATTGAAAATTTAGTCGATTGCTGAATTTATGTACTGGCTCAAATTAGGGGCATTTAGGCCGACATTATAATCAATTGAACAAGGCCCTTAGCAACGTTATAAACAGAGGTTCTATTCATGTTACACCCCTTTGTTTAGGTATTACTCTTCAAGTACTAGGCACAATGCAATGTCTATCCTTTTATTATTATTATTATTATTATTTTTAGGTTGCAATTTTTTTTCAAATCAAATTTTTATTGCAAATGGTAATACAATACCCAATCACAAGTTACTAATCTAATCTAATACAAACGCAGCCAGTACGAAAAAGCATCCTGGAAAATGATTAGGTTAGATGAGGTCTGATTATGTGTCTTGTCTAATTGGTGTTTACAGCATATCTGAGATATGATATAAACATCAATACGGCCAGGCCTACTGCGTTGTATTTGCCGCAAAGATGATTCTTGGAAATGAATGGGAACATTTCTTGAATCTACAGGGGTGGAAGGATGCGTGGACATACCGTACCAAACGCTCCGAGTTACTATGTGTAGTTGTGTGTAATGTGTAAATATTTGTACAATATTTTGAATCATAAAATAATGTAATGGAAGGATCTTACCGAATTTTCTCCTATGTTGGTAATGATTCTTTTGCGCTTAAAAGTTTCGTTGGATGCAAATTTCACCACTGAATAGACAATCCTTCCAGATCAACATTTTCTTGCTACGACAACTAGAGACGCTACAGTAATTCAAAAGAAGCGGCCAAATACTAACTAAAGGGTGTCCCACATCAAATTGCATGACGGAAACAACGCTGTAGAAAATTACCCATTTGGTATTTTCTCTTGAAATTTGGGGTAGAAGTAGTTTGGAGTATATTGTTTACACTGTATTTTTATCGTTTTTCAAAAGTTGAAAAAAATGGCGTCATCCGAAATGCAACGTCGCGAATTGATTTTGCGCAAGCACCTGAAAAATCATCAACTTTCTCATCGGGACATCTGAAAACAACTCGGAATCGTGCAGTCAACGGTGATCGTTTAAGCGGAATCCCAATGCTTCGGTCAGGGATGTGGCCAAAAAGTTGAATCTGTCCAAGTCTTTCCTTCAGAGAGCCAAGAATCGGGAGGGACTGCATACGTACAAAGTGCAGAAGGCTCCAAATCGTGAGGCACGGCAAAATACGAAGCCTTATTGTCTCATCATGGATGATGAGACTTACGTCAAGGCGGACTTCCGGTAGCTTCCGGGGCTACTGTTCTTCACCGCCTAGCACAAGTTTGATGTTCCGGAGGAAGTAAGGAAGCAGAAACTTTCAAAGTTTGCCAAAAAATACATGATTTGGCAAGCGATCTGCTCACGTGGCAAACGGAGTGCGCCGTTCGTGGCTACCGGGACTGTAAACGGGGAGATCTACCTCAAGAAGTGTCTACAGAAGCGTCTGCTTACTCTGTTGAAGCCGGATCTAGCTTCGTGCCACTATTCAAATGTTGTCCTGGAGTGGTACGAAGTCAACGGGGTCACTTTCGTACCCAAGGACATGAACCCCCCCAACGCACCGGAACTAAGGCCCATCGAAAAATACTGGGCTATTATGAAGCAGGCACTACGGAAGCATCCCAAGGAGGTCAAATCTGAAGAAGACATGAAGAAAAGGTGGGTTTCCGTACAGAAGAAGCTGCAGCTAGATGTTGTACAGAAACTAATAAGTGGAGTTAAGCGTAAAGTGCGAGCGTACGGTTATGACATTGAAGTTGAATGAAATAAAGATGCAAAAAGCTTACTAATAGTTTATATTTTATTGTCTGAAAGTTTGAAAAGGATCGGTCAACTGGGTAATTTTCTACAGCGTATTTTCCGTGATGTAATTTGATGTAGGACACCCTTTAGAACAGACTCTACTTGGGATCTTATCTTACTACCGGTGAATCTCGATTTTGGCACCTCTCGATTTTGACATGCCTCGGTTACTACAACATGGTATTCTTTTTTGTTAACAAAACAAAAAAATTATGAAATTATTCTAAAATAGCATTTTTTATATATTTTTCAACAAGATACACTTAATGTATTTATTGTTATTTCAAAGTCAATTCAGCACTCAATTGTGATGCGTATAAAAAGGTCTCGATTTTCGCAACATAGTTGTCATAGTCTACATGAGCCTTGAGGAATATGAGGATATTTTTTGCAACTTCATTTGTATCCGGGTTTTCCTATATCATCATTCCAATTAGCCGTATGTTTCCCTAGTGCATAAAAATTGGTAAAATACAGAAAATTAAAAATTTATTTTTAGATGATTGGAGAAATTCGTGTTGTATATTTCATATAAATAAAAAAATAAAAAAAGCTGAGTGCTCTTCAGCTAAGCTGCTTGTTGTAACTACCTGATATGACAGTCATATGATGCGTTTATGTTTACATTATACTGTAAAAAAATATCACAGTGATAACTCATTTCCACATATAGTTAAGGCTTCCATTTCAACTTGCCCTTGTACCTTATTATTTTTATTTTGACAGATCTGTTCATCGTAACTTCGGTTCATTGATAGCAAAACTGTGGCTTATGTTCCAAGTGTTTAGTCCAGGAATGTTCATATCAAGTACAGCATTACTTCCAAGGTAAGTAGTAAATAGTTGCGACGTATGGATTTTTTTTTAAATTATCGGACTGGTTTGGGCCAAAGGGTCTCAGAATTTCATGAAATTCTACTCACAGGTTTATGACTATATGAACGAAAAAAATATAAAAAATCTGAATGGTACATTTTCCCGGAAAATTTTAATGAATGTTTTCGGAGTTTCCCGGAAAATTCTTAACTCATGAAAGAAACTTGTGTAGTGAAATTATAAGCTAGTTATCTCTGCAATTCATTACAAATAGGAGAAATGGATGTAATCTCGGACTAAATGCCCCTAATTTGGGCCCAAACATAAATTCAGCTATCGACTAAATTTTCAATAGCGACCAAAAATATCCATTAGTACCGTCCCAATTACGCGTTCATCTAGATAAAATTGATAAATAGCAGATTTTTAGCGATGGGCCCAATCTTAGATTCATAGACCAACATTAGAGCCATTTCCCCTATAATCTGAAAAATATTTTCCACGAAAATTTTCACGGTGGAGGAAAATCGCAAGGAAAATCAGGGTATGAAATACTTCAATACTTATTACCTGTCACTGGTGAAAATTTTAGCGTGTGTCTGTGTGTATGTTATGAGCAAAAAACTAACGACCCGTAACATTTTCTTTCTCTGTTTTTTTTTGCGGAAATCACATGCTTTGAAAATCCATAACTCATAAGTCAACTGTCGTAGAAATAAGCTTGTTTAGTAAACTGATATAAACATTATCTCAGCAATCCATTCACACTTAGAAAAAATCACCGACTTCGGTAATTCATTTACCGAATTCTCAACAGCTGAACGGTCGGTAATGTTTTCGGTAATCTAGAACATTACCGAAAAATCTGTAAACTGGATCAAAAAAATTAGCTGTCAAATTTACCGAACGATTGGTAACGTTTACCGATGTGCATTGCTTGATTTGTAGTTGACTTTACCGGAGAACTGTAATTTTAAGGACGATATGCAAATCGAAAATTACCGAGAGATCTGTAATATTTGAAAAAGGGCACCGACTCAACTGTAATTTGCTTTAATATTGTTTCAAGCAAGGTTGCAAAGACTCATTTCAGCTAAAATAATGTTTTTCGGAATAATAAAACCAAAAGATGGTATGATGGCATGTTTTACTTGTAACTTACAAGAAGAGGTTACAAAGTATGCGTTGGAAACATAAAACCTGTAAATTTTGCTTTCTATGAGTCACAATCAGCGATTTGCTGATCGCTGAGTTAGTGAGTGAGTGAATGAGTGAGTTTGTGAAAAATCGCTGATTGTGACTCTCGTGAAGTGAAATAAACAGGTTTAATATGTCAAACACATTCTTTGCAACCTCTTCTTGTATCCTACCAATTTAAAATTTGATCATGGCATCTAATTATTTCATAATTTAGAAAAACATTGTTTTAGCTGAAATGAGTCTTTGCAACCTTGGTTTCAAGGTGGTGGTCACTGCAACCCATGCAAAAATTTGGCTACAGTCGTGATCAATAAGTTAGTGTTGCAAATTGCACCACCAATGAACAAAACCGTTGGCGACGATCAAGGAAGCATTGGAAGAAGATTTCAAATGCTGTTTTCAGATCGTCGCCAACGGGAATGGAACTTGGACCGACAGAAAAAAACAAGCAAACAACATCGGTATTTATTTAGATAACGAAAATTAATTATTTATGGAAAATATCTACGATTCGATCATCGCTCGGTTGCATAACAGCCTCCATAATTTCACCTTTTCTATTTTTCACAAGCACGAACGCTTTTAATGTATTTCAAAAATAACAATATGGTGGATTTGACGTTTACCTAGACCGTTACCGAACTCAGTAATGGAACGCTTTGTTTACCGAAACTTCAGTAAAATATTTCACCGAAGTCAGTGATGAAGCTGATTTACAGACCTGCCGGTAAAAATGTTTACCGTTTTCGGTAAATTGAAATAAAATTACCGAAATTCGGTCATTTCATTTACAGTTTTCAGCAATAAAGCGAGAAAATACCGAAACATCTGTAATTTTTAGCATTACCGATCTAAGACGGTAATTTTTTTTACCGAACTCAGGGTCTCTGTTTAAGTGTGTTGTAAATATAAACTTCCAAAATGTTTTCCATGAACATTTGCGCAGTGGAGAAAAAATTCGAAGAAAATCAGGCAAACCATATTCCGAGTGATAATTCTTACTTGAAAATTTCTTATTTGTGGGAATATCAGAGTGATATCTCTTACCGTCTTTGAGTATTTACCGAAAACCTGTTAACCGGTTAAATGCCATTCTAAGAAAATTATAAAGCAAACAGGAAAACAATAATTTTCATAGTTTTTCCATAACTGGTCGTTAGTTTTTCGGTCATATCTCAAAAACGGTAAGCGACACCACTCTGAAATATTCACCAGAAGTTTTCAAGCATGAAACATCTTCATTACCCTGACAATGTTTTTTTTTTATTTTCCTTGCGATTTGCCTCCACCGTAAAAATGTTCGTGGAAAACATTTTTCAGATTATATTTTTTTATGGATTCCTGAGATTATTTTCTTTCCATTTCACTACAAAATGTTCTTTCTAAGATGATTGGTTCATATGTTATGAATTATGTCATCATCAAAAAACATAAACTAAAATTTTTCAGGAAAATATACCACACTTTTTTTTTGATTTTTTTTTCGTTCATATAACTATTAAATTTCATAATATTCTGAGACCCTTCGGCTAATTTTGTCCGATGATATTTAGAAAAATCTAAAAAGTGTGATAAAAGTGCACATTTCCGTCAAATCGTGTTGGTGTCTTCGGAGCACTTATTGCTTGCATCATAAGGAATGAGTGCACCAAAGATACCAAGACGACTAGACGGAAACTCACACTTTGTATTAAGTGAAAACGCGCTGATTAGTCCAGTTCGGTGTGAAATGCGCAATATATAATAAATATATCGTGTGACGTAGTATAAATGTTAACCTCTTATTTTTAATATATTCGTTGTATTTTCTAGCACATTTTCAATGTATTTGACCATCGCTTTTGTTTCGATGTGGTGGGAAAAACATTACAAGCTGGCTATTTTGAGCATCGTAATTTCATCTTTTATCGGTTAGTTGCATGATCAACCAAATATTACCAACTATACAGAGTATAATTCTTTATTGCATGTTTTATTTACAGGTTGGCCTTTCGCAGCATTTGTCAGCTTACCATTTGTATACAACGTATTAGTTCAGCAACGGTTATTTAGAATGTTTTTGTGTTGGAGTTGCCTGTTTGCTATTTTAATTGGAGTTCCTCTGGTTATAGTGGATTCTTATTTGTACGGAAACCTAACGTTTGCACCGTTTAATATTGTTGTTTACAATATCTTCTCACAACATGGCCCAAATCTATTCGGAGTGGAATCTAAATATTTTTACTTCATCAATTTGTTTTTGAATTTCAATGTAGTTTGGTGTTTTGCAATGTTATGTCCGAGTGTGATAGTTTTGAAATTTGCGCTGCAAAAAATTGCTCCAGTCAAGCTCCACGCCAACCGTTTGCAACAAGGTATCCTTTGGAAAATATCGCCTCTATATGTTTGGATGCTTATGTTCTTCATGCAGCCGCATAAAGAAGAAAGGTAAATCCTTGAATAGTTTCATAATCATGTTATCAACCTATCGTCCACACATATTTTGAATACAACAGTTCAAATTCCTTCTTCTCTTCTTTTTGGCTTTTAGGCTTTTTAACACAGCTTTAGCCTACTCTAAACTTAGTGTTCTTGAAGCACTTCTACAGTTTTTAATTGAGAGCTTTCTATGCCAGCCAATGCATGCATGTGTATTAGACTGATGCAAATTTTGACATTTTCGCTCCACAGTGCTCAAACGGTTCCAAATCGGGTCCTGATTAGTCTCCCAAAATTTGAACTCATTTGAAAAGAAACTGACTTGGCACAAACCATTTAAAGTTTATATGGAAATTACTATGGGAAATCCAAACTTTTTGTTTATTGTCTTCTACCCATTTTCCATGTTGCTTTTTCGGAAATTTCTATAACTATTCTTACGGAAAATTTTCTATGCTACAACTTTGCCGAATAACGTTTTTCAGCCAAATGTCAAATTAAATTGTTATTAATTGTTTAAGAGATTGATAATCTTATGGCATGATCAAGCAGCTGTTTTGTGAGCAACACTGTATCTTGCAGTATGACATAGTAGCCATGATTTTTGTGCTCTATTCTAAGCGCCAGAAACACCAATGTTGCCTGCTGAACAGTTGATTGAGCATAATCGTAAGACATTAGTGGCTTGAATTATTGATAACTTTTGATGCTTACATTATATTGAAAAGTGGTTAACGACAAAGTTGTAGCTGAGAAAATTTTCTTCGAGCTCAGTTATCATTTTTTAAAGCAGAGCGATATGGTAAATTGTTAGATGGATATGAACAAAACATTTGGTTTTCCTATAGTAATTTCCATATAAACTTCAAATGGTTTGTGCCTAGTCAGTTTCTTATCGAATGAGTTCAAATTTTGGGAGACTAATCAGGACCCGATTTGGAACCGTTTGAGCACTGTGGAGCGAAAATGTCAAAATTTGCATCAGTCTAATGTGTATATTGTGTGGCAAGTAAAACGATACTCTATTATCAGGAAAGTCGAAAAAAATTCCAACCCTAAAGACTACCCTAGACAGTACCTAGACAGTACCGGGAATCGAGCCCAACGCCTCTTGCTTGGTAATACCGTGCCTTACCTAGTTAGGCTATCTGAGGCCCAAATCCTTATCCTTACTTCATTAAGTGTGGTTGTGTATTAAAAATAGTGTGTTAGATAGTGTTATATTAGATTCATTCCAATTGATTGATAACGATGACCAAGGCAAAATACAGCGATATTGTAAATTAACACTTTCAAATTTTTCAAATACTTATTTCATATTAATTATTCTTATCATTCCCACACATCTCATTCGATCGTTAAATACTATCTACATAATCAAAAAATAATTTAATATAATTAAAAAAAAAAGAGGTTTTGCACCACCTTTGAATAAAATCGAAGACAGCATATCAAGAAGACTGGCAACTCTTCCATTTTCTCGAACGACCGCTATGAGGCAGGTACAATAGCGTCATCTACCGCTCAAAGGTAAATGCTTCGAACGAATTTGATAGCAAAGATTACATCATCAGATAAAGGTTTGTGTATTTGCTCATTTTTCTATGCGTTGCTTCCACCTTCGCTCAAGTGCAGAGCTACTGTATCTGTCGCTTGGACTCTGGCAAAGTTGCAAGTCTTCTTAATATGATGTCTTCGACAAAATGCAAACTTGAAAATTAGCATAAAAAACAGCAGTAAATATGCTATGCTATGCTTCATTAGACGAGGCATACGATACATATCTCTAAATTATAAAGTTTGACGTTTCAACTCTATCCCCATCTGTTGTGCAGACCGCACATTGCATTGTGGAGAACAGAGGGCGATATTGTTATGTCGCCGTGAATGTCTGTCTGTTCTAGTGATGATGTTTGTAATTTAAGTTATTGATGAATAACAATAGTGTATGTGTGTGTGTATGTTGCTGCCACCAACAACTCAAATTTATTCGTATTGTTTTTCTATTCCGTAGGTTTATATTCCCTGTTTACCCAATGGTCACACTTTGCGGTGCGATAGCGATTACAACTATTATGCAGGTCATGGATATGTTATTTCAACGATATGGAAAACATACATTGCGCATGCTCAGGAATGCTCTCCTGTGTGGAGCTAGTCTCACTTTTATTGTTTTAAGTTTATCAAGATTATTTGCGTTGTATGTTAACTATCATGCTCCCATGGAAATCAGTTCGCGTGTAGATGTATCTCCTGCAGCAAAGAATATATGCCTAGGAAAAGAGTGGCATCGATTTCCCGGGAACTTTTTCCTTCCTAGTAATTATCGGTTAAGATTTGTGAGATCACATTTCAACGGTCTTCTTCCAGCTTATTTTGACGAAACTGAGATGGGGTCGACTGTAGTCCATAGCTATTTTAACAACATGAATCAACCTAACAGCCACATGTTGTTTGATATTTCAAAATGTGATTACATCGTTGATTTTGACACCGAAGAAAATTTGTCGCTTAATGAGACTGAACCAAATTATTCCAAAGATAGTGCAACATGGGAAATAGTACACAGTGTTCCTTTCCTAAATTCTGGCGTTTCACACAGCGTTTACAGAGCGTTTTATGCGCCATACATAGGGAAAAAATATGTTAAGTTTGGTAGTTATAATCTATTGGCTCGTAAGATGTAGTAAATGAAGTAATCTCTAGATATTGTTTAGTTTTTTCGATGACAATCTCCATAAAAAACTCAATTGTATTAGTACAGATTGGTTTCAGTTATTCACTTGTTTATTCCATATTGGCAATTACATTATTGCAACACTCTGTCGTCTTTGTTCTATAAGCTTACAGCACGATACAAAACGATAATTATGTCACGTTGTGATGTTTCTAAAAATATTGGAATATTAGATTATGGAGAAAATTTAGAAGTTAACACATTTTTCTATCTCATCATGAATAAAAGTTGGAAGATCGAAAGGTCGATTTTTGCGATTTTTTTTTTCATGTCATAACAAGGCTACCTCGCCGATGGCCGAAAGCCTTGGTAAATCTATATATAGGGTATACGTCCCTAACCTCGGTCTAATATGCAGCCATAGATTACGTTTTTAATCATAACTCATCAATTAATTTACCTGCAAACGATATTCTACTGCTAAATGGTATGCTTAGATATGCTTATCATGTCGTTTGCTATCAGGAACCGCAAAAAGTTGAAAAACTTACTTTTTTTAAGACAAAAACTCACCAGGGAAATGTATGTAATATCGGTCTATTGTCCCCAAATTGGGTCTATTTATGGATGCAACTTCGTCCTATCCTGTTTGATTCTCAAAAAAAACGCTCTTGGTAACGTTTTCTTATGTATTTTTTTTATCACTATCACTGTTAACTTAATACTCTTCATTCCTCAAAACATTTCTTAGAGAAAATTTTACGAAAACTACATTAAATCCACTCAAGGTTAAAAATTAAAAATTA